CTTAGAAAACTGAATCCTTTGGGTTTATACCCAGGAAACTCCAAGTGATTCAACCAGGCAAAACTGACATTTTTAAAAGTTTATTAAAAACTCAATGTTTGCTTTCCATACCTTGCAGTGGGGCCTTCTTGTGCCCAGGCTTTGTGACAGCCAACTCAGTGGCCTTCTGGACTGAAGAAAACTACGCAGTCTCCTGTGCATCCCAGGAAATTTCTTGTTTCTTACCTACAGAAGAAAGTTTCTCCCTGCCACTCTTGGAAGCCTCCTGGCCCAAGCAGCAGTGCCCAGCTCATGCTGCAAGCCTCCCTCTGCTCTTCTCCCACAGGATTCAGTCACTGAAACCTTTGCTCTCCAGCTGCACCCAGATGTTCCCATGGAAAGGAACCATTCTCCTCCTGCTTCTGACCAGATGTGCTGTCACTCAACCCATGAACAAGATTCCTTTATTTGGTTTTTTTCAGTTCAAAGTGTACTTCTCACCGGCCACCAGCGTAACACCACTTCTATCAGTGTGTCCTAGAGAATGATACGATGGGGTTTTGGGACACGAGTGGGTGTCGGACACCTGTCCTGACAGACAAAGTCAGATTCAGTGCAGCCCACTCTCAAACTCTCTGGGAGTTACCCTGACACAAATTATCAGCTGAGCCTGGATTTACATTTGGGTGAAATAATTGCCATCTTCTGAAGGGATACAGGCAAGATGGCTCATCAAGGAAAATGAGGCCCAGAAATGGAAACAAGGAATGAGCAAAACAGATCGTGTGAGAATACCTTCATGTTCCCCAACCCTAATCATAGAATCATAGAATGGTAAGGGTTGGAAGGGACCTTAAAGACCATCTGGTTCCAACCCCCCTGCCATGAGCAGGGACATCTTCCACTAGACCAGGTTGCTCAGAGCTCCATCCAACCTGGCCTTGAACACTTACAGGGAGGGGGCATCCACAGCTTCTCTGGGCAACCTGTCCTAGTGCCTCACCACCCTCATGGTGAAGAATTTCCTCCTAATATCTAATCTAGATCTGCCCTCTTTTAGTTTAGAGCCGTTCCCCCTTGTCCTATCACTACACACCCTTGTGAAAAGTCCCTCTCCACCCTTCGTATAGGCCCCCTTCAGGTACTGGAAGGCTGCTCTAAGGTCCAGACCCTTCTCTTCTCAGGCTGAATGCAGACTTTCATTGTGCCCACGAGGCAAATTCATACACTACAAGAAACCCTGAGTCTTTACTACTGCAGTCACACATCTTCTGTCTCACATCAGATCTTGCAGCCCTCGTACAGGCACCCCCAGGCCTGGCAGCCCATCCAGTCCCACCACCCCAGCCAGGAGCAGCTGGGGGCTATCAAATCCTCACCCTGACTCTGACTGTAATTCCTGGCAGGAGTTCCCTTTCATCAGTGGGAAGAAAATAACGTGTTGCCCCCTACCGATCAGTTCCCCCTTCCTGCCCTGGAGGGCCCTATAAATGCTGTAACAAACTCGACTCTAAATACTGGGTTTCCGAATTATAACTCCCGCCCCGAATTCAATCTTAATGAAGTTTAATTAGATATGGCCTCTAATTCCAGTAATATCTTTAAGAAATTGCCCTTTCCAAACATGGGTAGAACTTGCATAAGAGGAGAATATACTGTAGTTTTGGAGCTTTGGATTTCTAAGTTCTAAATTTATTTTACCTAAACCCAATTATCAGCAGGAGTCCCTTCTAGTGTTTTTCATTATAATAGTAATTATTACTATAAATAAATATTAATAAATATGAATTCTTTCTGTCTTTGTAAGTCATATAAAGTGCAAATCCTAATGAAAAATATTAAATATATGAATTAATTGAAGGAAGCCCAGAAGTAAATGAGAACATAAAGCACTGGCCCATCCAACTGTTTCGTCTATTTGTAGTCACCTAGACCCCCTAGAATGCAAAAAATAAAGAGATTCCTTTAAGCATTAAAGTTAAAACTTTAACTTTAGCTCCAATCCTAATGCTAACACCAACACCATGAGTGAGCATAGCAATGAAAGTGGAAAAAAAGCACAAATTCCCATAGAGGAACACGTCATCTTTGTATTTCTCTAGTCTCTGGAGAATCCACTCATAAACTGGGAACAGTAAACTTGAGATTCTTGATTCCTAACACTAACCCTAGTCAGTACAGCTGTATAAATCTAGCCTCTACAAGACAACGCACAACACCGACCCCTTCCAAGACCTGCCCACTTCCAAGTCTTTAGTAATAATAAGACACAGCAATGACCTGGGCCCTTAGGAAGGAATGTGTCAATAGCAGAGAATCCCTCTTAACCTGAAACCTAACCTCAGTCCTAAATATAAAGCAGGTTAGAGCCATAACCTAACACAGAGCCTGCCACTAGCCCTAAACTTAGTTATAACCCAGTACGCATCCAAACAATAACATATACCGCATTTGCCTTTGCCAACACCTGTTATCTTGTCTTCTGAACTCTGCAAGCCACAGAGAACAGATTATAAACCAGAGTCTTGAAAATCCAGTTCCAAACCCTATATGTGACCTTAATTGTTTGCGTAATAGCATAATAGCACAATAACAAGAAGGTACATCCAACCTTCTATCCTGTTGTCACCTGCCCTCTTCCTAACTCTGTCAGACCACCAGAATAAAGACATGAACAAATATCTTGAAGACCTCAATTCCCAAATCCCAGCTCTAACACTTGCATTAATTAAACACATGTAAATAGTACAGAAGGACATAGAGCATTTACCCCTTTCTGCCATCTTCCTGATTCTTCGCTCCCCTGAGAAAACACAAAGCCTCCAATTCTCTCCTACCCTCCCAAACCCCAGCTCAAAATGTTCCTTGAAGCGTAACGTTAGCTAGCACACCCAAACAAGCAATGACCCTTTCCAAATTGTCCTCTTCTGGACATACGGGTCCTAGAAGCTTTACACTCAGACTCTTACACAACTCATATACCACTTTCAAATTATTTCCAGCAGACAAACGTGCAGACTGCAAATTTCCATCAGATTTGTTTCCACAGATTAGTCTCATCAGATTAAGAAAAACTGGCCCCATTAGTCTTTTTCTCCTTCCACTTTATGGGACCTACAGAATAGTGCAATACAGCACCTGGCTTCTGAGTCTGTGGAAACTCCAAATTTAACCTCAGTCCTGGTTCTACTTAATGGTTGGGATCTATATCCAACATAAAAAGACACATTAAAACATTTCATTTCGTCAGCATTTGTCCTCTTCCTAATTCTAAGGAACGTGATAATATTAGGCATGTTTACAGAACCAAGGAAAACAATAACACATGACATTTCTTTAATTTATCATTAACTAGGATCCAGTTAAATGAGATTTTTTAAAAATAAGTATCTCTTGGCAAAAATTTTTCACTGTTTCTTTCCCTGGAGAGCCTGCATTGTCATCACCTCATTAGAATGAGCTGAATGGTGAAGAAAAATGTTTTAAATGAGCATATTTCACAGAAAAGTTAGTCACTACTAAAATCAACTTCTTCAGCTAACATATCAAGGAATATATGTTAATCCTTTTATTAATTTTTAAACATAAATTAATATAGCATTCTACAACCTCTAGGATGTCTATGTTACAAATTTAAAAGTGCGTTTCATCAGAAATGATAAAAGGAAAGTATGATACAAAAACCATTCCGTTATTAGGAGTTTAATTTTTGCAGCCACGGCTGATTTCAGTTAGTGCTAACATTTTTGGTTGCGTACTTGATGCAAGTTCTCCATCTAGTGGAGTAATCTTTAGCTCTCCAAAGGCTCACAATTCTTTGCATGTCATCATTTTTATTTCTGATTCATCTAAAAAGTAATAGCAAGTTTCCTCACATAATATGTTCTAAACATTTCATCTATGCAATAAGTTTTTCCAAAATTAAAATTCCATTTCACACAGTGACTGAAACATTTGTAATAGCTTCAGAAAACATAAAGGTCAAGAGAGCTATAAAAGAAAATCCAGTCATAACAATCAAACTGTATCCACAAAATCATTTGAACAAAACAACCTCAAATATTTTGTTCATCTAGGTTTTGGTAGTTGAGCGAAGTTCTACTTTTAGAAAGTCTTATATGCTTCACAAATACTGACGACAATCATGTTTTAAAGAAAATTTTGGAACAGACAACCTACCTGCTCATATAGCATCAACAAACAAACCCATCCAGGTGCCAGAGTAAAAAGGAGCAATTTGAACAGCTTACCATGGGACACAGTAAATTTTGAATCACTTGAAGTTCTTACTTAGGCTGGGTGGGACTGTAAAATATGTATTCTGGTCTGACCACATACGTATATATGTAAGTATATCATGCAGGAGTCATGGAGGAAAGTAGAAGGAGCATTGCCCTGCAGAAAGTCAAACCAGGGGAACATAATCACCCACCCTGCTTGAAAGTATGAATCATGATAATATTTTTCCCTGTGCTTGCGAAGAACAGCCTCTTGGAAAAAAAATATAACGGTAAGAAGTGCTCATACAAAATACACAGTTCACATCTCAGACTTACTAAAACTTTTAAGCCGGTCCCAAGCTCCAGTACCTGTAATCACAACTGTAGCAAACAGCACAGAGAAATAAATGCCCCTTCAGGTAGGTTGGTCCCGAGCCACTTCGGGAGACAAAGGTCAAAACAGAGGATACGAATTTCACCTCTGTTCTTGCTGGCGACGAGCGCGCTCCCAAAGCAATCGGTGTAATGCACTGTGCTCCTTGCATGACACATTACTTTTAGTAATTGCATGGCTGCATTTCAAGTCACCTTCAGTTCACAGTAGTTTTTAGCTGTGACTTGACAGCAAGCGTGGGTTACAGTTATCCTGCACTTGAGATAATGAAGGTATAGATTATAGCAGAGAGCCCACATCAGACAAAAGAGGTCACATGTCCTGACTTGATACGGATCAAGATTATAAACTTGATCTCATACAACATGAGCATCAGAAAGGTGCCTTGACTCCTTCAGGGCACTTACCAGAAGTCAGTTTGCCATTATCGGAGATCATATTCTCTTGAGCTGACGAAGTTCCCGTTTCATCTTTCTCACTGTAGCTGCTGACTCCGCCACGGCACCAGGTCCTGCAGATGCAGGTGGGTTCCCCTGGGTAACCCATCCCTCAGCCAGCGTGCCATCTCACGTGCACGCCACGCTGCTTGCACAGCAGCAGCAGCCAGGCATCCCTGCTGCACAGCAGGGGAAACTGAGTCAGCAGGAGGCCAAGGCTTACCTGAACAGACTGCAAACAAGCAGCTGTGGAGGAAAAGGACTTAACAAATCTTTTCCCGTATGCTAATAACACACAGCCTTCAAAACCAGTGCATTATCCTTCCAAGCAGGAAGACAGTACTTAATACAGCACAAAAGATTTCTTAATGCTAGGTTGGGCAACATAAACACAGTATCCTGCAGGGTATGACACGAGGCTAGGAAAGACAGGGGAGTTTCCTTGTGATCATGGGACATATACATGTAATACTGTCTTTTACAGTGCCCAGCTTTCAACTGTGGCACAAACCTTAGCACATGAATTTTGTTGTATTTACTCTTCCTTAGAGAAAAACTAAAATACAGAGCTATGTAGTTTGTGGAGTTGTACAGCTACTTTTTGGTTTTTTAAGTTACTGATCTCCCTGAGCTCCCACCAAATTTTGGCCACCTGGAAGGAAGGAATATTCACAGCAATTTCAGTACACTTTTTGCTGTAATTCTAGTTCCTGGTCCATCACCAAGAGCAATTCCCTCTTGATCGTTTCTGGAAATCAGAGTGCAGGCTTTAAAACTCCAGCAGCTCTTGACTGGAAAGAAACATTAAACTGCAGAACCCACCACCACTTCACTCCAGCTGGAGCCTGTAAAGAATACAAGTGTATAGCAAAGACCAGGAGTGGAGCTAACAGGCCCCAAATGACTGTGGTAAAAAAGGTCTTCACCCCCACAGCAACTTTCACGGTAAACCTTTCACTCAGTTTTCAATGCACGTGGGCTAAATGTTGTGAGTCCTTTTATTGCAGAGAGCAGCTCAGGGAGCTGGGGCTGCCTGATCGCATGCTCAGCCTGTGCGTGTACCTCCTGGCTTTCGGCACGTCCCAGTAGTCGTTTGCATGGTTGAAATCAAAATATCGCTTAACAAGGGCTGCCAAACACTGTGCAAATATCCCAAGCGCAATGACAAGGAAAGATCAGATTTAGTAACTAAGTCAGACCATATGAGCAACCTGGTTGAAGCAGGGGGGCAAAATTCATAACCCCTCCTCACTCTTTACCTGCCTAGGAACATGTCTTCTACTCTTCAGTTGCAGCTATGCTGGCCTTTTGCCAACATACTGCTTTTCAGTTTTTCTTCTTCAGTGTCAGTAGTCCACTGATTTCATCTGCTACTCCTGCTTAGAAGTCCCCTTTATTCCTTCCTGAGAATCGATAGATATTCCTGTCCTTCAGAGGCAGGCAGATAGACTGAGTAACGACATTCCCTGCTTGCCAGGTTCCTTCCTCTGAGATTGCAACAACAAGGTTTTTGGTCATGAGCAAGAAAACCTCTGCAATATTCTTCCATCCTGCTGTCCACAAAGAAGGGAGTTCACATGTTACACATTTATATCCAATTAAGTCCTTAATTTTTGTAGTCTGACTGAAATTAGCTTGTTATCTGAATGAAAACTGACCTTATGTTCCTTGCTAAAATACAAATAACCTGAAGGAGAAAAAGATCGCCTCAGACATTTGAAAAAAATACCCTTAATTGAGAAGTATGCCTTGATTTTTATACTTGTTCATTCAAGGCTTGCTAAGAAAACTCTTGATACTGAGAAGCTAGTCATTTATAAGTATGTAGCTACAAGGCATTGCTTCAAGATTAAGAACTAATGCAAGTGCACGGCGCTGGGTTTTTTTTTTAATTCCCTTATGGAATTGCATGTTTTCAATACACCAGCAATGCGAACTGAAGAAATCAAAATGAAGTTTGGGACAACAGTTCAGAGCTCCTACCCCGCCAAATTACATCTTATTTACCACCTACGACTTCTGTGCTAGGATTGAAACAAATTCTAAAACAAATTATTATGGGAAAAAATATTTTTTTTACTTGTCATGCCAAAAAAAAAAAGGCTGAATTATTCTGTGAAATTTTGCAAAAAACCCCCTATGAATCAGAAAATGTAACTTAGGCAAATGAAAGTCTCTAGAAGAGATTAATACGTGGATATATTTCTAACGAAGGAAATATTTAAGCATTGTTAGTAGACTTGCAGCTACTGCACCGGACTATGCAAGCTTGCTGTGTACTTTACTTTGGAATAAGGTCACAACTATCTGTAATTCACGCTATTATCAATGCTGGTGCCCTTTCGGGTTTGGCTTTTTTTTCAGTGATATTAAATTAAGCTGCCACCTGGTTGTGACTTTGGGCTACTCGGCACTTTCTTTATAGCATGGCAGATTCTCCTTTCTTAATCGCAGTTCATGAGAGAATCCCTTAAAAAAACATGTGCTATTACAAGAACACAGCTCATTGTCAGAAAACATATATTCATATATTGACAGCTGAAGGCAATTTTCTGCAGATTGTCACTATGCAGCTACAGGAAGAGAGGGAACATTTCTTCATTATATCGTCATTATAATTAGGGTCATACTGGACACAGAATAAGTATCCCTTGGGATTGGAGAGTGATTCCATTTTTTTCTTCCTAAAGATGATAAATGCAAAACATTTTAAGCAGCTGTTGTTCCTTTTTTATCTAGGGTACATGGACAAAATCTGTCACATCATTGTTCTTTTATGAATTGACCATTTACTGAGTACTTCAGAAATTCTAAAATGTCTTTCACAGATGGACGTCGTTTGTTGGCATGGATTATATTCAGAGTTGTGGTTGTGGATACTGTGGGAGACATGTAGTCTATTTATGTGTATATGACTTGTTTTTTTCCTCTCATCTGTACCACAATCCCTAACTGAAGATTTACAAGCAAAGTTTTAGAAAACTGAAACTTTCAGCTCTTATCAGGTAGTACCACAGACTCATCACTTGCATATTACCTGCTAAAATAAAACCCAGAAGACAAAGAGGGTGATTTCATACTGCCCAAAGTAAAAATCATGGCTCTGTATACAGTTCATGGAGCAAGACAGGTCAAACTACTACCTGAAGGAGCTCTCTGAATTGCTTTCTGAAGATGTCTGTCTTTCTCCATTGACTAGAGAGGGAATTTAGAAGTGCTGATGGCTAAACCTAGACAGGAAAAAAAGTTAGATATTTTGGGGAAGATTTTGACATAAATTAGGAGACCCTCAAGGAAGAAACTATGTTAAGCTCTGAGTTTGTTATTGGGGGTGCAACAGCTAAACTTTTCTATTTGCAAAAGGCTGAGATCATCTTTCTTATGAACACAGCAATGGAAGACTTAGTCTCAGGCAAGGGGGTGGTTGCTATTGTCATCACATTAAGACTGTGATATGCAGATTTTTTTGAATGTTCTTTCCATTCACAGTTGCAGTCTTACAGTTAAGCAAAATGGATTGCCATCCAGCCCTCTGAATTGGCCCTTCAAATCCTTGTGTTTTCCTGCCTCCTTAAGATAGGAAGAGATTAAGGGTGACTGACAGCAGAAAAAAATTATGCAGCCACATATATGTTAATCTTGCCATCTTTTCTGCAGGATTTGGAAGGAGACGGATATTTATAACTGTTCCTTTGTCTTGCTTTTGGACTAGCCACTGATTTCCCAGCACACTAGGAAACATTTCTAAAGGTCTGGGACAGAAAAATAATCATTTCGAGACAACTAATCTCTCCATTCATGTCATTCATATGAAAGTAATTCTACACCCTTAATATTGGCCAGAATATTTGGTCTTGAGTCTCAGGCCAGGAAAAGACTAGGAGACGCTGATAAACATTTCCTTTATCACAGTATTAACTAACCCAATTTAATGTATACATTTGAAATTAAATTAGTATACTTTTGCATGTTGGCAAACTTGGGACAGCAGCCTGTTTCTGGCCACAGGCTGCAAAGGTTTTGTTCTGACCTCAACACAAGGAAGGTCTCATCTGAAGGCCTTCTTAATTGAGAAGGGCTCAGAATCTTGACTTGTATAATCTGGCTACATAACTGTTATTAATTTCAAGATGTTAACCTGGTTTATAGGAGCTGAGATCCAAGCTTTTTTTAATAATAATTTAAGGCCTATTCATTTCTCAAAAAAAATACTCCAAATCCCCTCTAACATTTGTTCCACTTCATGTATTTTCAGCATCGTTAGTTCCCACTTTTCCAGAGTTTAGCCTCAGAATGTTGTTACCTCCGCATCTGAAACAGACCCTTGTCTTTGTCTATTCAACCCTGCATTAAGTACCAAACGAAAAAAGTAATCATCTGCTACATATCCCTAACCACCGTCATTTGCTATTACTGCTTTTTTGAGATGGCCATATTGGATACCATGACAACATATTCTGGACAAGAATGACAGGACTTACAGGGAACATAAATGAATGCACTTTGTTCACTTACAACGAAGTATGATCCCTTCAACTTTTCACTTTATTAATATTTTACTTACATAAAGATCCTTTTGTACTAATGGATTCCAAAGCAAACCATTAAAAAAGGAATAGGAGTGATTTAGATATTACTTGCCATAATTGGATTATATGTTCCTTGCTTCTGTGTTAAATTACTGTAGCAGTTCAGCCTACAGATGACCAAAGTCTCTGATTTCTCAGCTGAGAAACAGTCTTTTCTTTGAGCAACAGACTTGTAATTGTAGCACAGAATTTGTCAAAAGATCCATTCTATCCTCTGCTGAATTAAACTCATAAAAGATGCAAGAACACATTTGCGCTGCTGATAGTGACAGTACTAGCTCTGCAGATGTCACTGTTGCTGTCACTTTGCCCCACATAGCTCAGGCAGTCTTGGGTATCTTTCCAGAAACTAGCACAAAGCCTGATTCAGTCCTTCTCTTTTAAAAGTGGCCTTTATAGTGCATGAAATTATAGCAAGCTGGAAAAGGAGGATGCCATTCGGAGAGCAATTTCTAATTAATTTATATCTTCAATGTCTGAACTACAGTTTCAGCAAGCTACTGGTCCTTAATTTGGCCCT